TTTTTTGTTTGTTTGAAAAGATGGTAAGTACCTCTTAATTGGGAATGAACTTGATTTGTTATAAACTATCATTAATTAGTAGTTGGATATCATTTTTAAACACTAATTTGACCTTTTAAAAACTATGTCCTTGATTTTGATATTTATCTTTAACCAATAAAAAGGAATGGAGAAATTACACAATTTAAAATTGACATTTGAATTATAATGTTTTTTGTAAAATTGTAAACTTTCTACTATAATTTAAAATATATATTTATTTTATGGTATTTTATACCCCATCATGATGTGGATTATGAATCACATGTTAAAATCACATGATCAAGTTGGGAAAGGACATTTTTACATTTTTATGACTAATTTTGGATTAAAAACGTGATTTTACTACTTTCGTGGTAGTGTTTTCTTAGGGTTAAACGTGTTTTTTTTAGGGTTATATGTGTGTACAATACACTGAGAGTAATTTGCTGCCATAATCCATTGAAATTCAGTCGATTCATTAAAAATAAAAAAAATAATGCGTGTTCTTTTTTTTTTTTTTTGGTGAAATTTTACTATCAAAATGTTCAAAATTTTAAAAAATACCGCATATTCTAAATCGATCTGTTCATTCTTTTATGGTATTAAACTATATTTCATATTAGGATTTTTTCCACCACTATTTTATATTGTGAAATTAAATACATTCAACATCAAAATCTTTTAAAAGATGTTAAATATAGCTAATTAGCAAAAACAATAAACTATGAATATATAGCATCAAACTTGCCTTTTTTTATTGTTTTAAAAATAAGGCCATTAATTTTTTTTTTCCAGTCTTCTTTTTGAGTTCAACACATGTAACAAATGTGTGATATACGAGAAATGTGAACAATATAACTCTAACTACAAAACTCACTTCTTTTCACCCAAGCTAGTTGCGAAGTTAAACCAAAATTGATGATTGCCATTCCACCCATTTCATAAGTGAAAGAAAGTTGATTAAAAAAAGGGCAGAAATGGGAAGGAAAACAATATAAATGTGTAGTGTAAAAAATCACATATCTGGATTGGACTCCTCCGGAAGAACAGTCAAAGTGATGGTGCTGTTAACCGATCTCTTCACAACTGCCTTTAATGGAACCCCAACTCTATCTCCCATAATTTCAATGATCTGCAACAAAATTAAACACTGAGCTTCACTGATATGTAATAAGTAGAAAATGATCTAAAACACAATACTACTAATGGGAACTAAGAAGGTTCGAATACCTCTTTGATACTTGCAACACGATGGCTATCGAGCTCAATGACAACATCACCCGAACGAAATCCGGCACGACTAGCAGGGGACCCAGGAGTTACCTATTGAAGCATTTGAAGAATCTATTCACTCGTCCCAAATTTATATTAAACGCAAAGACACGTCGGTACTCCTAGATCAGATTGTAATATTACCATAGCTATAAGAACCCCTTCAGTGACAGCTGGAAAAGTGGTATCTCTTTCTTTAAGTTGTTCGATGATCATTTCATTGAGATCAATCATTTTCAATCCGAGCCAAGGCCGAATAACTCTCCTGCGTCATTACACTACATTATCATCATCTATCAAAAAATAGATCAGGAAGTAAAGCATATTCTAGTTCCTATTGGCAAACAAAATTGAGAATCAATTTTATAGATGGAGATAGAAAGAGAGGGAGAGAGAGCCGCCCACATTTTGTAGATGAAATCACCAGGTTTAATGCAATTTCTCAACTAATTCACAACTAAATCATATTACATTCTAGATCACAGAAAACATCTCAACGAATTCAATTCAGACAAATGAATCTTCACCACTCTATTAGAGGATTCAAGCAAACAACTAAGACAAAATAAAGGGCAAAAAGAATTAAAGCAATGATACAGAAAAATGAGGATACTTCAAGGTAAAGAGGAAAAATGAGAGTGAACTAGATCTCTTCTACATACACAAATGAAGTCTTCAATTCAATCCAATTCACTAGCAACCATACTATAGTCTCTAAATTCGGTTTACCCTCTTTTCTTGAATTGCTCTGTAATTTTGGAGACTGAATCAATTGGTACAGCAAAACTTAATCCAACAGCATCATCCACTTTCATAATGTTCACACCAACAACTTCACCATCGATATTAACAAGAGGGCCCCCAGAATTTCCCTACACGACAAATATAGATTACAGAATGCCAACATTTTGTGTACAATAAGGCTAGAATAATAAGTTCACAAACTTCTACCACAATAAGGAATATAGGTTATTGCAAGGTGAGATGCGGTAGAAAAAGAAAGTGATACATACCACATTAATTGCACAATCTGTTTGCAGATATTCCCTTCGTATTCCACCAAGACCCAAATCACTGCTCTTACGGTCAACACAACTGGATCAAAGAAGAAAAGTAGACAACCAAATATTACTAAAAACCTGCATAAACTCTAATCAGCTACCCTGTTAATTTTGTTTCAATCTTCGCCTTCTAATTTCGGCGAGTAGATGTAGACCTAGATTGTTCAGTAAGTATAGATAACAGTTAATCTTAAGCACGCCATCCTGAAAAGGAGGATGTTTCATTCATATGTTCACTAACAACGATGTGAAAAAAGTTTATAAACAGTTTATGTTTTTCTCTCTTCCATGGAAATAAAATATCAAGGACAGAGAAACTTTCACCATTTGGCTACCTTACTATACCAGCTGTGACAGTATTCTGAAGTGAAAGTGGACACCCAATTGCTACAACCCAATCCCCAGGTCGAAGCTTGCTTGAAGAACCAAGTTTTGCCATGGGAAGAGGGCTTTTAGAATTTATTTTTACGATGGCAATATCAGAGTGAAAATCAGCATTCATTACTGTACCTTCAAACGTCCGACCATCTTGTAAAGTAACCTCTACCTATGTCAGTTCAAATATAAAATAATTTTTAAAAAAATAACGCGCAAGCATTCAGCAGTTCTAAGATTGAAACTTAATTGAACGAAATATGAAGGTTCAACAGAGAATTATGAAGACATTTGTGGCTTATCAATGGTCTGAAGAGCTAAAAAGACATTCGCCATTGGAAAAGTTCTGTCAAAAACATAATTGCAAACTATGTACAAACATAAACTAACATGAAATTATCGTAACAAACAGAACATAGTATTGACCATGGAAGAAAATTAATCTAATTTTCAAAAATTGGCATAAAGTAAAAAAAGATTTACTAAATCCAAGCAATATAAACATATCAATATTTCTACAAAACAACGCTATTCATATTCTTATTAAATTCAGAAAGCTAACTAACAAGCTATAGAACTGCTTACCTTTCCTTTCGATACAGCTCGTGAACTGTAAAAACCAGTCACAACATGGGCACATGTTAAAATTGTACCATCCTTGTCAATAATAGTTCCGGAGCCCATGCTTTTGGCAGCAGCAATTCCATAAATACCTAAGGAAACAAACTCTTACGACTTCTTTTTTTCTTCAGGAAAACCATGGGAAAAATAACATGAAAATTGCAAACTCAAATACCATGAGGAACAGATATATTTACAACAGCAGGGCCGACATTTGCTGCTGCATTAGCAATTGTATCTCTTCCCAAACATTGTGGACAAGGCTTCTGGCCATCTCCAGCAACTCCAGGCGTTTCCTTTTCCGCATCAGATGGTGGAGCAGGACCGACTCTTGAAGCGAACAACGGAAGGCCTACAATTTCACACATCAAGCAAATTTCCAGTAAAAACAGAAATGAAATAGAAAACTAACTTGCAATCAAGAGAGATACCCAATCCCCGGTGATCAAACGCCGGAATCGACGAAACCTTTAAGCCCTGCGTGGTCTGGCATGGAAGAAACAGTGGTTCGCTCCAAGAAGCAGGAATCGACAATGCTACCGTGGGTCCTTCAATGAAGAAACGTGGAAAACACCCAAAAAACTAAGCGAATGGATGACAGTGTGCAGACAAATGAGTAGACATTTTCAAGAAGTTAACTAATTGAACATTTACGTTCAACTACAGTGTGAACTCGGCAGAAAAACGGAAAAATAACACCCAAACTATTCAGCTATGTTGATCCATTTCTCGACAATCAATCAAAGAGTTCAAGAACTCACTCGAATCTAATTCGCTTCTGCCGTACAAGAAACAAGAACCAGCAGCAGCAAAAGCCGCGATCCGTATGAGTGTGTTATGCGATTTCGAAACCTTTTTCTGTCAAAATCAGATTCGTCGATAAGTAAAAGACATCAACAAAAAGCTTTAAAAAAAAATAAAAAACCGCATCCAGATGAAGATTGAAGAACAATCCACATAAATGGTACCAGAAATTGGATCATCTGCGTTATCTTTGGCTACGAAATTCTCTTTCGCCGTGGTTAAATCGAGACGTGTCCTCCAAATCCCCCGCCTAAACCCTGATTACGGTAAAACTCCGGCCAGGAAAATGGCGGGTTCCGACAGGGCTTCTAGGACTATATTATTGGGCCTGGTTATAACAATCGGCCCATGGGCCATTCAACAAAAGCCCAAACTAATATACTCCGAATTTCCGTATTACTAATTTTGTTTTACCTCAATTCAATTTCAAATACAAAAATAAATTCATTTACGTCTCTGTAGTTTTTAAAACTAGAATTGATCAAAGACCATTTCTTTTATTTTTCATCGGTATTTTTGCCAATCATCCTTAAATAGCTATTCCCTTTGTTTATGATTTAAGGGAAGATATAAACGAGCCGATCAACGAAACAACTAGATAAACGATAAATTTTTCATTAAATTTTGTGAAACGGATACGTACATCACAAGCAAACCAGATATCAAAACCATCGATTCTTCTAAGGATCCCATGAGAGTCCTAAAATTTTTACAAAAAAAAAAAAAAAAGTTAAATTTACTCTAGGAACTTGTTACTTAATTCACAACTTTTTCGGCGATTTCGGAGCCTTTTCAGCAGTCGAAGGAGTGGAATTCGACGATGTCTTCTTCGGAAGCAGAACCGGATTAATATTCGGAAGAACACCACCACTAGCAATGGTTACTCCTTGAAGCAATTTTCCTAGCTCCTCGTCGTTCCGGACCGCCAGAAGAACATGCCTAGGGTTTATCCTGTTCTTCTTGTTGTCGCGCGCTGCATTCCCCGCCAATTCCAAAACCTACATTACACAACATAAGTTTGAGAAATCGATTCCCATTTGGATACTGAGAAAGCGAAGGAAAATGAATTTCGTCTCTATTGTGTGATTACCTCAGCGGCGAGGTATTCGAGCACCGCAGCGAGGTAGATCGGAGCACCGGCGGCGGTACGCTTGGCGTAACGTCCTTTCTTGAGGTATCGTCCGATTCTTCCGACGGGGAATTGGAGTCCGGCCTTGACAGACTTCGAGACCTTAGTTCTGTCGCCTCCTTTTCTTCCTCCGGCGCCCTTCGTTCCCTCCATTGATAACTCTCGTCGGAAACGGAATACTTCTCTGAAAATGAAGTTCTGAAAATTTGATGAATACGAAGGAGAATTGAAACTATTGACGATTGAGATTGCTGTGAAGAACGGGAGGTTGAATATATATGGGCTGCGATGGCGGGATGGTTGTTTTGTTCGAAAATGGATCGGACGGCTGGGATTTGTTCCACGCTGGCGATCCACGTCTTTTAATCCGGCGGATCGGATTGCAGCTTTTTCGATGTCACGTTTGGCGTGGAGGTGTGTACTTTGCTTAATGGGATCTGACGGCTGGATTTGTGCCACGCTGGCAATCCGGGGCATTGGACAGTCCATGGGTTTTGATTTCAACCTACCCGGATAACCAAATTCTCGAAATTAATTAAAAATTAATAAATTTAATTTATGATCATCCATATTCTTAGGTTTAATTCTAGTTTCATATTTTTCAATTTCCGATTCTTGAACTTTAAAAGCATATGTATTTGCGAAAGCGAGTATATTGACATATATCTCCAACCCCCAAACATGTTGTATTAAAAAAAAAAAACATATATATTTAGTCTATGAATTTTCGTAAAATAACTTAGTGTCAATAGTTGACAAATTTTTGTTGGGCTCTACTAGGGAAAGAAAATTTTGGTGGATGGCTGAAAAATAATCTACGTTGAAAAATATTTAAGGGGAATAGATTTCAATTACAGGAGTATGTCAACGAAGTTATGCCAGCAAATCAAATTTGGAGAATGTCATGGCCACGAGAAGAGCTTTAAATGATGAACTATGACTGTTTAGTGAGGTAACCTAATTCAATATGAGTGTTTTTTTTTCTTTGAGTATAACATTGTGGGGGTGGGGGTTCGAACTATTGACCTTTTTGGTCAGAGATAGGTGCTTTAACCACTTGAGCTATGTTTGGTATGACCTAACTCAATATAAGTTAAGCACATGGTTTTAATGAAAGTGTTCTTATATTAAAAGAAAGTTGAGTTAATTGTTTAAAAACGAATTTTTAGTTCGACAATTGTTAGGGTGGGAGCATGTGTATTGACGTGTCATGTATTAGAGCTACGTATTGGGTTAAAATATACGATCATTTGGTCGAAAAAACATATCTTAACCAATTAATCTATGCTTGAACTGTTATGTAATATAGTTAAAGCATGTATTGCTTATACAAATATTAGGTGACAAAGATTAAAGTTGTTATTTATTGAAAATCAAAGAACTAAAATATATTGATATAAAATAATAAATTTTGTTAATAAATCTATGGACTGAAATATATGTTTTAAAGTTAGTGTTTTTAAATTTAAATGACTCAAATACAGTTTAAACGTCAAAACAAAACAAATCATATTGAACAATTTTTTATTATACAACTAAAGAATATATATGGACCAAAAAAAAACAAATGTATATAAAGTACAAATTTAAACAAGAATTTCCTTTAAAAAAATAACCAAGAGTTATTAATTAAGATGTGTGAATTTAAAATTGGCGACAAAAAATGCGCATCCGGGGAATCGAACCCCGGTCAGTACCGTGGGAGGGTACTATGATACCACTACACCAGATGCGCTGTTGACGATGAAAACACTATTTGGTTTTATTTGTCATGTTTTTCTTAAACATTTATACAATTCATTTATTTATCAGAAGTTTTGTCTATTGTTAATTAGAAAGCCAAATTACCATTTAATGATTAATTTCTGTCCATCCTATGCAGGGATATTAATTTTCGTTCCGCATGTCAATATATGTCCATCAATATTTTCCTGTGGTATGAATTTGACGTCGACATAAAAATGAATCAACATTTATACAATATTGTTACAAAACGACAAAACATCATTATATTGACTTAATATTAATTTGTCTAAATGTTTATTTATTTGATTTACTAATTTACTAACACTATACTTTTAAAATTAAATTGTCTCCAATGAAATTAATCACAATTAATAATTACATGATTGGAAATACAAACGTTTTTAAAGCTTGAGAATACTGTATAACCATTTGAGAATCAAAGTTTACCATTCATACAAAGAATTTATTATTATTATTATTATTATTTTAAACAAACCCAAAAAAGTTAATTTAGATAAGATGGATAACAAGACTTTCCCATTCAAAGCTAACAAAATATTTGTCCAATGTTTACGAAAATGTCTTTCTTTTCTCTAGTAGAATAAATCGAAGTAGAGATTTGAATTCACGACTCTTTAGTCTGAGATAGATGTCTTAACCAGTTAGAATTATGCTTAGATTGGCACGAGGGAGAGGGTTTGCTTTCCAATTCACTTTCATAATTTAAAATATTTCAACCAAACCGAAGTTAACATGCCTTTTCATTTAACTTCATTTAGTGTAGCTTTCTACGAAGTAATGACTCAAAAACAATCAATAATCATATTCATAAGATTAACATAACCAAGAACTTGTTCAGCACCATCACTTCTTTGATGACAATTTAGCAGTTATTCTACCTCGAACTGTTCTCAAGTCTGAGTTATGCTTACTTGATTTCCTTTTTTTTGTCTTCCGTGGCCGTGGCCCGTGTGACTTGTCGGCCAAGTGTCTCCGTTTTAGTCGCTCGCGACGTATGGCGGGATCGGCCCAGCCCCTGCCCCATTCTGAGAAGGATAAATAGGATTTGCTTTTGGTCATTGAGAGGAGCATGTCTGCTTCAGGGCAAACATTGAATGTCTGGTCACTTCTGGATAGAAACTCCAATCCTAGCTTGGTTGGCTCAAGAAATTTTATCTGAACATGGTTCTGCACAACAATTTAAGCTCAGGTACATATTGGTTCAAATCCTTGTAAGTTTCATACTTACAAATATTCAATATTAGTAACCAAACTTTGAATAAAAAATAATTTTGGTAACGGTTAGTTTTTCATGAATTATTTAACAAAAATCTTAATTTGTTTTGACAACTAACATATGATTTAAACTGAGATTATATTTACGACACGAACTTTTTATATGGCAGTGATGTCCCTATTACTTTGTGTAAGATTATTCTAATCATTCATATTTTTTAGTTCTAACATGTGGAGGTGGGATTCATACCTCTAACATTTTGGTGGAGGATATATACTTTAACCATCGAACTAGCTCAGCTTGGTTTGTTCTTTCTAATCATTTGTTTTGTGTTTATCATTCCATATTTTTAAACTACACTCAGACATGAAAGATCATACACATATCAAACAAATCATTGGTAGCATGAAATATTCTTTAGACCAGAACAAACACGGAATCGGCATGAATTGAAACCGGTAAGTTTAATCTATTAATGATATAGAATAAGTATATCCAATCCAAATTTGTTCATTTAAGTTTTTAAAGCACAAGACGAAACTGTTTCAACTAGACAAGTACTGAAGTTAATTACAATCGCTGATAACATACCTTGTTGTCCCCTTCTTTCAAGTAACCTTTAGCTTCCAAAATTCTCGCAAGACCCCGCCACCAAAGCAAATCAGTTGCCACGAACTTCAGAGACTGCATGCCCATTGAATGTAAACAACTTTAACTCGGAATCTTTAAGAACAGTACAGCATTCAGTAAATTACAAACATATCAAAATGCGAACAGAGTAAGTAACATCACCTGCTCTCTCACTTTACTGACAAACATCCTCAAATTAGGCTTCTCCCTGAATCTCTGTTTGACATCACTATATGTGAAATCATCATAGAATCCTTCGGCTAAATATCGCTGTTTGGGAAATGAATACTAACTCATCAAGATGATATTTAGAACGGTAAAATGAGATTGTGAAATCCAATATCTTGTATGAAACTTCTTGAACAAAGGAATGAAGATTAGATTGAGAACCATAAGTTTCAGGACTGTATACATATGTAGAGTTTGAAAGAAAAAAATTACCAGTTGGAAAAATTACAATATGTACACAACAGACATAACAAACTCAAATATTAATATACCATCAAAATACTTACATGATGTGCAGCAACGACCTGCATTAATATATTTGCTTCCTCCTTCAAATTCTGCATATTTGGAGGTCCCTTCACACAAACATCACACCTACAAAAATTTCCATCAATATACGTGGGAGAAATAAAGTTTGCTCAAGTTGCATAACCATGAGATGCGAACCATAAAGAAAAGAGAGAAGGACCAAACTTAAACAATGGTGGCCAGAATGCAAACTGGGAACTGATTTTGAAATTGAAAGAAATGTTACATACATGAGACACTTCTCACGATCAAAAGTTTCACCAAAGTACTCCACTAGTTTCTGTGCACGACAATTTGAAGTGTTCATCCCATACCTGCAAGAATGAGAAAAGAAAATCCCTTTGATCAAATAGCGCCTTTTTTTATTTAGGTTGAAAGTAAAACTGCAAAGAGAAGTACATAACCTGAAGCAGTCGGACAGCATTCTATATGCCTGATTAGTTTGATCTTCACTCCTTCGACTTGGCAAAAGGGAGGGTATTCTTGTCAGATTTGCAAATAGAACTGTTTACAGAGGTGAGAGGTGTAGGAAACATTGTCCCAAGTTAACATGGAATAGTATTAAGCCTCAACTACGACATAGTAAATACTATCACAATATTCAGAAAAATTCATGCCGCAGGCGGTAATCGAATCAATCAACAATAACAAGATGAAATCAATTATCAAATAAGGGATTTAAGATACGTCCCAAAAAGATATTATCATGGCCATGGGATGGAAAAATGGAATTATTAAAAGCCACAACAATTTCCACACAACTTCTCACCTTGTGTGATAAAGCCACCGATATGTTAAATTAACACGAGATTACCATATTCATTCATATAATTCTCCTCAATAGCCCACTTTCAAGGGGGATCAAATTTTACTTCAATAAATGATCATGAATCTGTAAATATTGATTTAGTATGGTCTAAGAATATAAATATTTTAACTTTGGATCCTTCAAATTCTTCTACTCTAATACCATGATAGTAGTACTACTGATCCGAAAAATCAAAGATAATAAGTTGAGGTTAATTATTTCTTGCTTCAATCTAAACAACTACGTGTACTTTTAGACTGTTAATGAACTTACTACAATCTGCCAATTTTCCATCCCTTCCAGCACGTCCAGCTTCTTGATAATAAGCTTCCAAACTCTGAAACAAAAGCAGTAGTTAAAGAAGCTCGGAAGGTAACAACTGGCGATGACATAACATAGAAAAGACTCATTAGAATGCATGCACGAATTAGGTAAAGCAGACCACAGTTAGACACCTGCAAACAAACTGATTCTGATTGCAGAAATTTTCTGCTTTTTAGACAACAAAAATGAGCACATTAACAATATTATTATATCTAGTAAATTTGTAATTTGAGTGATCACCTGTGGCCAACCATAGTGAATAATTCTCCGGACATTCGACTTGTCAATCCCCATTCCAAATGCTATTGTTGCAACCACAACCTAGTAAAATAGTGAAGCTATCAGTAACAATGAATATTTAAAAAAAAAAAAATCCCCTTGTGGATTCATAAAGTACGAAATTTATAAAGAACTCCATGAGACTTGGAATGCAAATGTTGGGTGCCTAAGAAATTAAATTTGAGATTTGACATCATTTTAGTACCAAATCACAAGACTTGTGTATTGTTTACTGATACAATATTTGTTTTGATTGCATAAAAAGTTGCTCGAGAAAGAAATTAAATTATTCAAGTAACTAGCTTGCAGTTTAGGAAAGATATCCAGCTGTGGTTAAAGGCTGGTCAATATCTAAAAATATTAAGCTTCCGAAAAGTGTATGCATCACTAATTATTAATAATGTCAAATCTAAAGAATGAAATTAGAAAAGCTCCAGTTTTGGCGGTGATTGCTAACATTGATTAATTATAAATGATCAGTTTATCTCTGAGGTACTCAATCCAAAGATCTCTCTCCCTCGACGAGAAGGGGGGTGCACTAGAATATGCAGAGTTTCCCAAGACGACTTAAATACTTGAGAGAAACACAGAGAGGTTTGAACACAATATAGTGTCAACTATGTTCTTATCAGAAGAAGCTAACAGTAAACCTACTTATCACTTGGAAAGATGCTTGTAATCCGCACCTAGCAGAAGTGTGTTTGCTCAACCTCTGTGTCAATATATTTAAATTCAAAGGTAGAATTCCAAATGCTTGCTTATTACAAGGAAAAAAAAATTAACAAAACTGGAGAGGTAAAGAAGTTAGTCAAGGAAATTAAAAAAGAATATATATCTTGAACAGACCTCAACATTATTCTCGTGAAAGTCCTTGTGAACCATCCTTAAATGAGATTTCGCAAGCTGGAAAGAAAAAGAATCACATTAAGTCTAATTTTGATAGCTGGAGGTAGTTCTAAGAAAGGGAAATGGAATAAGATAACATTATGCATCCATAATAAATATTAGGCAAGAAATCAAGGCAATGGAGTACTATGTCACATTAATATAATAATGAACAGTTAGGAATGCATGGAAATACAATTCCTTGAAAGATAAAGGCATCTGAAACACATTGACGTCCTGATATTGGTCTCAAATTAAAAAGAAGAAAGTCTACAATAGAAACAAGACTAAAATAAAGAAACTTTTAATTGTATGGTGGGCAGTGGCCACAAAATTACGATGCGATGAACTTGACAGATTATAAGCAAAAATTTGGCACCATGTATTCTTGAACATACTGATGCATTGTAAGCAGCAGCCTTCACGCCCGATTGACAAAGATACTTTGAAATACTCAAAGTTTCTTTTCTAGTAGGAACGTATATAATAGTTGGCCCTTGTTCAAAAGTCTCTTGACAACTTCTTTGTCTTTCTTCTGCTTTATCCAGCCGATCAATCTCCTTCAATGATGCATCTACATCCCTGTCCCCACAAAGCAATTGTCCACAGAACTCACCACATGCAACTGCACAGATTTAAAGGAAAAAAAAAAAACAACTATTTAAGAAATTGAACCTTTTCATGTTTCTTTTGAAGCCCATACATGATTCACTAACTCATTGTCATAGGCTTCTAAAGTTCAGATGCAGTATAATGGCAAGAGTTTATACAGTAATTTCAGTACCATCCCAATCATCTACGCTCTGAAAGACATCAACCTCGTTTTCCAAGTACTCAACGGACATTGTCCTTCCTTCTGAGGTGGTTGGCGAACATTCTTTTGCAGAATCTCCTTCATCATCTCTATCTGAGTCAGAATCATCAATGTCCTCTAAATCATTTGGAGAGATTTTGTCTGTCTCATATAAGCTATTGTCGGTTGAGCAATCTAATACACTATCTAACTTCTGAGAGATTGCAGTTTGTTTCTTATTGCTAGATCTTCTATTTTCAGCATATATGTCAATAAGATCGCTGAAGTCCTTCTTATAGGAGGATGGTGAAGATGTTCTACTATGTTTTACCTAAGAAAAGAAGTAAATAATAAGATTTGACGATGAGAACAAGAATTTACAGTTTGAGTGCTACATGTGATATAAACTAAACAGAGTAAAAACAAAAATGCAAAAGGCAGTAAGACTGGCAATTCCCAAAAGAATGTAAAAGGCAAAATTGAATACGAAATTCATATTTTCTTTACTGTTTTAATTATAAATTTTTGGGAAATGAAACACAATACTCACAGAAAAGCGAAGATTTGGCCTAAAAAACGAAGTTAGAATAATCTTGGTTTCCTTCGACATACACAACGACTTTAAAATGTCTTCTCGAACTTGAATTGTGGCAGTTGCGGTCAACGCCATCAATGGCACGTCAAATCTCAAAAATTTTAGGGTTGAAGAGCTGAAATTCTCTCGCAAAATAGACATACCCCTGAAATTTCAAAGCGGTGATAATAATAAGCTATTAAAGCTTAAAGAAAGTTGTATGTTAAATATAAATGGAACATAAATTGAAAATTCAGTGTGGAACTGTGGATAGAGACTCATTACTCCAAATTTGAGCATCATTTTGGAATTACTTCCAGTCTTTTACTTGAGGTTGGCAAATATATATAAACAGACGCCCACTATGCAGTTAAGACTTATGAGGATACAAGACACACACAGTCCACATGCGACACGGAAAACAAGGAATATAAGCAAATTATTTATCCAGTTCAGGAAGAACCTGTAGTCAGGCCGAAAGTCATGGCCCCATTTAGAAACACAGTGTACTTCATCAATTGCGAACAATGCAATTCCACGAGTTTCGGCTAGATTTTGAAGTGGTTGAATCAATCTGCAAGAATAAGATTAACCTTGCATTACGATTGCAATTTGCAAGAGAATAAATATTTCCTTCAATATGTCATTGACTTTCACGTGCAAATTACCTTACAACTGTCTCTGGGCATACATAGATTATGCTATATGCACCTCCCATTGCTTTCTTTTCTACAGAACTATCAGGTTGCCCAGACCCAAGAAAGCAGGCAGAAACCCCATGCTTTGCTAGTTTTAAGCATTGATCGTGCATCAAGCTTATCAATGGCGAAATAACAACAACCACCTTGCCTGTTAATAAAGCTGGGATTTGAAAACAGATAGATTTCCCTGAAACAATGTGGAAGCATGCAAAAGAGATTATCTTCCATCCACTGCAATACCTAACGATTCAAGTAAATAAATGTGGAAGGAAGGACTGGAGAGCAAAGCTATACCAGATCCTGTCGCAGCAAGTACCAGACAATCTTGGTGATTCATCCATGCTTCCAAAGCTTCTTTCTGGAACTTCTTCAAGAACGGATAGCCAAAATGTTTTTTCAGAATCCTATTCAATTTCTTCTCCCAATCCGTTTGGGTATCTGTTTCTTGTATCAAATCAACCAGATAAGAATCTGATTCAACTTGAAGGTCACATCTTCGTCGTTCCTGAATATCTTCCACGTGACAAGGGAATGCTTCTGGTCTAAAAATTGGAAGAACTGGTTCGGCTTCAGCCTTGCTTCGTTTGCACCTATTGTTAAAAGAAAAATGATCCAGAATGCTAGACTGTCGCATTAGAACCTACACTGGGCTCTTTTTCCAGTTTGCTGAAGCAAAGGTGGGTTTTCCCAGATTCCTTTCCTACGCTGCTGAAGACAATGTATGATATAGTTGCGACATGAAAGGTTTTGTATCATAACTTTTGCGACATGTTATCTTCATCAAATTCAATGCACACCTCCAAACCGAATTTGAACATCAATTGTTAATTTTCATTATGAAATATTAAGCAGCAGAAATATAAATCCTAATATATATCATTTTCAATGTGTAGCTGCAATTAAGTAAATAAATTCCCAAACTAAAAAAATAATAATTAAAGTATGAAATTGACAGAACTGTATAGTTAACCATTCAATCATTAGAACATTTACATTCGTGGAGACTTCCGACAGCTTCTTTAAACTCGAAAAACGAACAGACATAATGAAACATTTATTTCCAAATAAACCTAATTCTTTTCTTAGTAAACAGTCAGGTTCCTCGAGCATTTCTATCAGACATCGGTAAATCATGCAGAGCAGACGCTTCTAGCTAGCAAGAACATTGAAAGATCGAGATGAAACGACGTACCGGAAAGTAAATGATCCAGAGGAATTTCGGACGCGACTTAGCAATGAGATATTCGAACGGAAAATTGAATAGCGTGGCAGCTTCGTTTCTTTCGATACTGTCGCGCGCGAAAAGAATTAGTGGGAAAATTTTGGAAGTGTTTACTAGTTTTGATCCGAGTAAAATTAAAACCTCGACCCCTCCGACTGTTTGAATCTGATACTTCGTACGGCGTCGTTTTAGGACAAGTGTGGTCATCTGGATTCCGTCCATAATAATAAAATTATAATATTAGTTGAAATACAATTTTTATCCCTGTTTAATTGTGATTTACTTTTCAATATTTGTTCATACTAAAATAAACAAACTTTAAAATATAGTTATCAAAATACACATATGATAATTAAAATAAATCAAATCAAACGTAAACTAACCAAAATAGTATTTAAATCTGTAATAATTTTGAAAAATAAAAAATTATACATATAAGTATAAGTACTTCTCGAAGTAAAAACATCAATTATCATCTTAGAGGTTAGTGATCCAATCTCTCTCTTTAAAATAAAAATAATAATAACAATTGTTCGTGCTAAACGGTAAAAGTAACAAAATGGTAAGTTTGATATCACTTGTTGGACAAGCATAATGTATTTTTTTAGCTATAAATACTTTTAAAAAAGTATCGTCTGTGTTTTATTATGGAGCTGGTTTTAAAAACAATGTTAATATTTCTTCTAATTATTTCAGTTATAAATATTTTTATCTTGAGTTCACCCTATTTATCTTATCAACAAATACTATTACTTTTTTGTATAGATAATTTGAAAACATTTTGTAGCCTTCACAAAATCATATCATACCAGTGTTAATATAATTGATATGTCATGTTTGGTTAATTCCTTCAACGATACTAGTCGTATCGATCAAATAATAGTGTGATTTAAAAGAAATTTCTAAAAGATTTTATATTAAATATATACAATAATACGTTAGATAGATTACAAAATCAGCACGTGAACTATGATTTTTGTCTAAATATATGTTTTAGTATTATTTTGTTTCCAATGTAGTTACTATTAATGAAAAAAAGTTTAAATATAACCGCTCGTGTTATATGTTAATTTAGTAACTCGATAGCAATTATTCAAAATAACTTAGGATCAACCTATTTGACATACCAACGAATGAATTGACAACATTTTAGAACGTAAAATATGTCACAAATATATAAATATATAAAAAGTCTCTGATTCTTCATTTAGGGTTCTAAAAAATTGGTGGAAACTTCGAACTTTATTCTCGAAATTTATGTTCATTCATTCATTACTATGTTGTGTATATTTACTAGCTATGAGCCAATTTTAACGTATATAACAACAATAACTTAAAAATGCTAAAAAATACGAATATTTAATTAACTGTCAAGTTTATTTTATTAGTTATTCGTCACATTGTGCTAGAATAATAAATATTTGTTGAGTAGATTCACTAGATAATCATTATCTTGCAGTATATGCTTACTTATAAATATGATCATATTATAACTCGATAAGAAGTACTTGGTACTACGATCATAAGATGAACAATACCTAGCCTAAAGATGCTCCATGATCTATTCGATTGCTTGTTCGAGAACTACGATCTTTGCTTTGGAATTGAATCATTTTATTGTATACCTTATAAACTAATATGAAGGAAGCCCAATCACACATTAAGGTTATTCCAATCTTTTCAATTTGAATGGACTACATAAATCTGAAAAAAAAGGTTATAGATGTATCTAACTCGATGCTTAAAGTGGAGTAGCCAAAGTTATATCATATTGTATATTTTGTATCTTGGGGGAAAATGCAAAAAAATATAAAAAAATTATTGAGTTGGCACTCCCAACCTTCAGTTGGAGCCATTAGTATTCAAAATCACCCGTTGAAATTAAATCATACTATTATAAGTTATTTTTTAGTACAACATGTGGTTGACGAGATTTGAACTCACGATTGGAGATAGGTGTCTTCATGAATTTATAGTATATTTGTAATAATATTATAAAACTTGATATTTAACAGCAACAACCCTTTTAATTAATAGATGACATGCACATTTTTTTAGTTGCAACCAATAAATGTACAACTACAATATATAAGAATAAAAGAATTTAATTACAACAATTTCTTAGGAAATTGTTGAAATTATAGTTGGAGAGTGTAATTGTAATTATTTTCACCGTTGATTTTGCATTTTTCTTTTATATAGTTCATACTAAAATTTGTCATTTCCAAAAAAACATTTAAAGAAAAGGCAATTTATTATATAAAAAAAAGTAATATAAACCAGCAACTTTTTGAAGAAAAGAAAAAAATTCACTCACTTTTCTTACAAAGGAGTCTTCATTCATTCAAAAAGACTTGAAGTGCCTCCAAAGCATCTCCCATCTCTCTCTCTCAAGAACAGAGCTCGAAGCTTCAGTGCATTTAATGGCAGAACCAGAAGCCAAGCCAGAGCCTAAAGAAGTAGAAGAAATCGCGGAACCTCCTCTCATATACAAGGTAGTTTCGATTTCGGCTACTCTTTTTTGCAAATCTATAACTCATCCATTCTTCAACCTCTCGCTATACGGTTTTTCTGTTGACGATTCTGTGATTTTTTTGTTACTGTTTCATCAGACGTGGATTCTGAAAGTCTCTATCCACTGCGAAGCCTGCAAGAGGAAGGTGAAACGAGTTTTGAAGGACGTTGAAGGTCGATTTCGAAGTTTGATTTCATTTATTTAATCTTTCTTCCCGGTTGTTCGTCGATGAAGTTTTTTCTCACTCCTGTTCGTATTGCGATCTGTTTTCTTCGAGTTCAGTTCTTCAATGGCGTTTTTAACAGTCGCCTCTCTCTCTTGATCGAGTATCACTCTTCGGAACTTGCTATTATTCCTTTCTTAGCATATTCATTTCACAATAACTTGAAAAATGATATGCAATGGCGTTTTTCACAGTTTACCTCTCTATAAATCGCTGTTTTCTCTGGAATATGGATTAGAAAATATCTGCTGATTTTGAATCCGACTATTCAGGAGTGTATGAAACGGATATCGATTTAAAGCAACAGAAAGTGGTTGTGAAAGGGAACGTCGAATCGGAAACTTTGATAAAGAAATTGTTGAAGACAGGGAAGCACGCGGAGCTGTGGCCGGAGAAGTCGGATTCAAAAGGAAAGAAGAAAGGAAAATCGAAGAAGAAAGAGAAACAGAGCGACTCCGAAAGCAGCGGCAATGAAGACGAAAAAGAGAAGGTGAAATTCGAGGTTCAAGTCACGGACCCGACGAAAAATGGAGAGGCTGCCGGAAAAATCAACGACGACGGTGGCCAAGCGAAGCAACCTGAAACTTCAACGACCGGTGGCGGCCAGACAAGCGGCGGAGGTAAGAAGAAGAAAAAGAAGAA